TCATTTTACTTAATATTATTTTATTCACTGCTTTTATTGATAACAACTACTGCCAGGTGTTACTTGCTCGCTCATATCGGTGAAAAGCCGCTAACGACTATACGTCGTTGAATTCAATTTAATTACTTAAGGGCTGAAGCGGGGAATGAATTCAAAAATTCCTTTGTGCGATTCAATTGACACAACCTTGCATGGTAAAAATTCCTCCAAATAAAAACTTGAGTACTTTGATCAGCGCGCTATTTACTTCGATTCTCACGCCGGTCTTAATCAGTTTGGACTTAGTAAAATAAACATTGGATGTTTATTCTATTTCAAGAACATTCAGAAGTATTCCTCGTCGAAGTTTTGAGATGAAATTCGAATGGTCATAACAAAATTTTGTTTGAATATTTTAAACACATACATTAAAACCTTATACAGAATGGAATTTGAAATACTTGAATTAAAACTTTACACCGAACGATTTTGTGGGGGAAGTATGTGCTACCTACACGCCTGTCGATGCTGAGAAGTTAATTAAACGGCCTCCGTTTTCATACTTGACTTTATATGCACTATGCTTACCGATATATGATTGGTAGTAGTTCTTCTTACCAATCTTTGATTTTAAGTCGCCATTCTCACAATTTTTGTATCATCTCGGTGACATATATCAATAAGAGCAGATTTCAGTTATTTATAAAATTTGCCTTTTTGTTCTTCATCCATTTCGTTAGTTGGTTTATATACATTGATTATACTTACATAGAAGAATTTTTGTTTGATTCTTAAAACGCTTATTCTATGACTGATTGGTTTTAAATCAAGAACGATTCGCCGTGCTCTAACTTAAAAAAAAATGATAATATAACACTAAAACATTTTCTACAGGAAATTACCGAGGAACAATTTACTGTAGAATCACTGTTGAACGACTTTACAAGGGAAGTGTAGCAAAGGAGGCTAGCACAGAAGATACAGCTGAAACAAATAAACGACATCGAATATATAAACGCGAGCTGGGAGAAAACTAGCTAGGAAAACGCAAAGTAATACTGAACAAAAGAAATAACAACAATACACCATGGTTCAAAAAAGAAATAAAAGAGAAATGTAAAGGAAAACGAGAGGCCTACACGAAGTACAAAACATCAAATACTCCAGAATCCCGAGACACATATAGAAGAATACGAAATGAAACAAAGCAGTTGGTAAGAACAAAAAATGAACACTGGGAACAGTTTACAAAAATGATGGAAAGCGGCCTCTACGGTACGCAAAATTAAATATGGAGATTCGTAAGAAACCAACGGAAAGAAATGACAGAATTGAAGAAATAATATACCAACAAACGAATGGGGAAGATACCTGACCGAACTGTTTAAAGGAAAGGAAAATAATAACGAACACAATAACGTACCTGAATTAAGACACGGAATTGAAAGTTTTCAAGAAGTAAACAGTAGCTATAAACTCACTCAAAAATAGAAAGTCACCAGGACCAGACGAAATAACCAACGAGCTTCTAAAACACGGAGGAGAAAGTATAACCCTAGAGATGAAAAAACTTATACAAAAACTAATATTGCACTGCAAGATATCAGACGCATAGAGAAATAGTATAATGATACCGATGTTCAAGAAAGGAAATAAAGAAGAACCCAACAATTATAGGTATAAATCTACTGAACACCGCACTTACGCTTACTACAAAAGTCCTAACTAACACAATCAATAAACTAACCACTTTATCAGATGAACAAGGATTAAGATCCGAAAGATCTTGCGCAGATGCCGTATTTGTACTAAGATAAATCACAGAAAAGGCCATCGAGTACCATAAATCAGCATATCTATGTGTTATAGACCTGACAAAAACTTTCGATCGCATCCAAGTCGAAGATGTCTTACACCTGCTGTATAAAAGAAACATTCCAATCAATATTATACAAACCATCGAAAACATCTACTTCCATAATCTAATACAGGCAAAGATGAATGGATAACTAACACAGTGTATAGAAAACTACAAAGCGGAGTCAGACAGGGTGACTCGTGACCCACTTCTCTTTAATGTAATAATGGACGAAATAATACAAGCAGTACGTAAAGGTCATGGCTACAGAATGGGGAACAAAGAAATCCAAATATTATGTTATGCAGACGACGCCGCATTAATCGCCGAGACAGGAGACGAGCTTCAAAGATTAACACACATCTTCAATACAAGAGCCAACAAATACAATATGATAATATCAGCAGAAAAAACCAAATGTATGGCAACATCTAAATACCCACTACGATGTAAAATCCAAATTGATGGGAAAATAATAAAGCAGGAAGCAAGGTTTAGGTATCTGGGAATATATACAACTAGTTGCGGAGCTGTTGAAGAAGAAGTACGACAACAAAGCTTAAAAGCAAGTAAAGCGGTGGGATCTCTTATGACACAATCTGGAAGAACAAACACCTAAGACAAGACACAACAACAAGAATCTATAAAGCAGCAATTAGACCTATATTAACATACACGGCGGAGACAAGACCTGACACATCTAAAACGAGACGACTACTGGAAACAACAGAGATGAAAATACTTGGACGAATATAGGGGAAAAATCTGTTGGATAGGGAGAGAAGCGAAAACATAAGAAAAACATGCAATGTAGAAGAGATAAATGGATAGGTGACAAAACGGAAACAGTAGTGGAACGAACACATTAGTAAAATGGCAGAGGATAGAATAGTTTATTCGTCTTCCGGGTTTGGACCGTGTCATTTTTGAGTAACCCAAAAGTGGGTTCATCTCGACGTTTCGCTACAATTGTATGTAGCTTCTTCAGGAGAACAATGCCATCAAACAATCCGATCTTTCCGATGATGTTAAGAAGTCCATAGTTCCGAAAAACTCCATCTGCCCCAGAATTTACGGTCTTCCCAAAATCCATAAAGACAACGTACCTCTTCGTCCCATTGTGACTACGATTAACTCTCCTACCTACAAACTCGCAAAGTACTTGTCGAATCAGTTTAAGACCTATACTGGTCGTACCTCTTCTTATGTTCGAAGTTCCACACATTTCATCACCTTAATCTCCTCCCTCACGGTCGATCCCCAAGACATTCTCGTCAGTTTCGATGTATCATCCCTATTTACCAATATCCCCATACATGACTCTCTAGTTGTTCTGCGAGATAACTTGACCAATGATAACAAGTCTTTGGTTTTGGCAGATCTTGCGGAAAAATGCCTCCTTTCAACATATTTTTCTTTTAGATGCAATTTCTACAAACAAATATCTCGAACACCAATGGGTTCTCCCCTTTCCCCTGTCATTGCTGACATTTTCATGGAAGCCTTTGAGTCTTTAGCCCTAGAATCTTGCCCCTTAAAACCAAAAGTCTGGTTCCGCTACGTTGATGATCATTTACATCTATCATTTATCTATTACATTATTATTATATTTATTTACATCTACATTTATCATCTGGCCCCATGGTCAACATACCCTTTCTCCCTTCCTAGATCATCTTAACTCACAACATCCGAGTATAAAATTCACAATGGAAGTAGAAAATAATCGGTCCCTTCCCTTTCTCGATGTGTTTCGAGACATTGACGTGAAGAAACCGGTCATTCCATATTGTTCAAAAAAACCCATATTATTTCTAAGACCCCCTCTTTTATTCCAGGAAAATCCGCGAATCTCTAGAGATCCGAAAAAATCCACATAATATCAATCGAGAGGAAGGATACTACTTATCTCCCATCCGGAATCTCAGTCTAGAGCCGCCGTCCGGTCCCGCTACCACGATGCAGCCACATGATTGGCCAGCGCGCTTCTTGACGTTCGCGTCACGGAGTGTGCCGATACGTCCCGACACGACAGGTCACCGCGACTATAAATAGAGCGGTAGCGGAGTAATCGTCGGATTCACTCCCCCCCTCTCGACGCGTTAGTGTTCTGAGCTGTTTGACGTGAATCCCTGTCCTGGCATTTGGTTTTCACCTCTGGCTGCGTTAAGTAGTTGAGTTACTGTGACCAAATGCCCATCTTGGTAGTTAGTATTCGCCTCTGGTTGCGTTGAGTAACTGAGTTACCGTTGCTAACTACCCATCTTCCTGTCTTTTTGATTTCTTTTTCTTTGTTCTCCTGAAGAAGCTACATACAATTGTAGCGAAACGTCGAGATGAACCCACTTTTGGGTCACTCACAAATGACACGGTCCAAACCCGGAAGACGAATAAACTATAATTCTGACTCTGGCCGTGGAAGCCTACGATTTCATTTGAGGATAGAATAGTACGAATAGCACGAGATAAGTCACCAAATGGACGAAGAAGTATTGGCAGACCAAGAAAAAGATGGTGCAATAATTTAAATGATTTAGCAGGTTAATATTGAAGAAGAAACACGCTTTAACGCTTACATTCAAGAAGAAAGAAAAAGAAGAAGCCCTACCTTGGACTAGGAAAGCAGTTCCAAATTAATTGCCCAAATTCATTGTATAATATTTCTTATAACTAAGTAACTGATAATTGAATAGCTTGTCATACGAGTTTGTTAAATTTTCCTATTTGGTATAAGGTTCTTACATTCTAGGTAAAGATTTTTCCGGCGGTTCGGTTTTCTCCTTTATTATACGCGATAGGTTATTATAACGAAATTAAAAACAATTGTTTCTTCGATCACTATGACCTAACAACAATATCCTGTTTCTAAATCTTTCATCTCTGTCGGCTAAAATTACTCTCTGTCACTGTTAAAAAAATGTTTTTTTTTTCAGTAATTGATTTAACAGAGTTAATGGGGAAACTTTTAGAAAAATAATGAAACATAACAAATTGATTTTAATGTACATTTGCAAATCTTAAACGTAAATGTTTTAAACCATATAAAATTATTTGTTCCAGTTTAAAAAAAATGCCTTTTATTCTATACCTTTCTTAAAGAGACTATTTTAATTAGACTTTATTTTCTGCAATTAGATATTATTATTTGTGTTTATAATTTTAGCACCACCTGCAGCTGCTCCCCCAAAACCTGCAGCTGCTCCTCCTAAACCAGCGGCTCCTATGACGTCAATACCTGTCGCCGCCATTCGTCATGCGCAATCCTTGGAAGCGGCAACAGTTAAGTTACCACCAGCAGATCCTACCAAAGAAATTTCTGGCACGCGCACCGAACATAGAGTTAAGATGAACAGAATGAGGCTAAAGATTGCCCAACGGCTTAAGGAGGCTCAAAACACGAATGCTATGTTAACTACTTTCAACGAGATTGACATGACGTTAGTATATTTTTATATGTTGTTTTATGTTTTGATATATTCATATATATATTTTTACTTTTTTTTATTTTAAACTTATTACAAGACGCTATGTTTAGATTAATACTAAAATTATTTTTTGCAGTTTGCATTTACTTTTGCAGTTATCTTGCTACTGTTTCTTTCGTCTGTTATCCAATTTTTTGTACATTATCCCATAAAACTTCTCAATAATGTTGTATATTTCTGTATTTACATAATTGCTGTCCTTGATATTTTCATTTTGGCATTTTTTCGTTATTGTAAACCCCAGGTGCCTGTATTTAACTTTCTACTTTATTACTACTTTGCCGCCGATCTCTAAATCCTCTATATCCTCTCTCTTTTATTGTTGAGAAGTATTCTGTTTTTGCGAAGTTAAACTCGAGGCTTCTTGTAGCTTTCTCATTGTATAATTCAGATCTACTGGTGTGCAATCTCCACTTGATCATAATATGTAAAGCTTAAAGTTTACTTCGACTACTTCGCATTTTTTCTTCCACGCTTTTAGTATTTTCCAAGTATATTTTAACTAGTACTGAAGATGTGAATATCCGTATAACAGTGGCTTTGTTTTATTGACGTTTTATTTTATTGTATTTGATAGTCATACCTTCTTCAAATATCATTGAGATGTCACTAAGCATGCCTGTAATGATCTTTCATTGAAAGATGAATAAAAAGTTTTCATCTACTTTTTAAATGATTCATGTTTCCGATCTGTATGCTTGCACTGATACAATAAGGGTTTTGTTTCATTGTAATGTTTGTTTTCTGGCTTTAACTTTCCATTTTTTAGTTGTCTAGTCATTCCCAAATCCCACTCGTTAGCTAGAATTATCCGTTTTATTACCGGTAGGGTAGCCACTAAGGAGCCTAACAACGTGAATTTGTGTATAGGTTATTCAACGAATATAGGACTGTTTTGGATTATTGCGTCAACGAATATTTTACTGTGCAAGTAGAAGTATGAAAGTAAATTGGTCCAATGACTATTCCAATAAAAAAGATCTACTGTTAGTATGACATCTAAACTAAAATTATTTCAGTTATTAGACGTTCAGATAGCAAAATTTATTGTGAAATCTAATCCGGAAATAACAAAGTTTTTGCGCAAACGCTCCTACAAATAAATTCAATGACGTCTATGAAGCCAAATGGTCGTGTTTCGGTGAAATGTAAACACCAAAGAGGCGTGCCGGGTTTCTTTGATATTACACTATTTTATTATTTTATTAGGTACTACAACTGCAATAAAAAGAAATATACTATTTTTAATATAAATGAAAAGAAATTGGCAGAACGATGGTTCAGAAACCAGAAAAAGAATCTAATATTTCACTTTGTTAGTTTTAAATATTTGTTTGCTTTGAGTGGATGTACTCTTAAAAGTTCCGAAAGTAACGGATATAACATACCGGGTATTGATAGTTAAGTACTTAACTATCATTATTATAATTATTATTAAGTTAAGTACCGAGTCGTTACAGATATTAAAAAGTAACGAAAATTTACATACAGTTTTATATATCGCCGACTGATTTTAGTTTTAAAAACCGTCCGTATAGCGGTGTTCGGTGAAGAGAGGTCCGTTAAGAGAGAGTTTCGTGTAGTGTATTTGTTTATTGATGCCAAGAATGCCGAGACGTATTTTAGATGTAGACAACTTTATATTTAATGTACTTTCTTATTTTACTGCTGAGAAAACCACCGGGGGGGGGGGGACTTTGCGACCAGTTCAATCCGTACATAAACGTGTGTGTGATGCACTCTGTATTAGTGAAACAAAACTTAAGTAGGTGTTGCAAAAAGCAAAAAAATGAACAAAGTGAACAAAATGTCGCACAATATAAATCTCGCCGACAACCAAAGACTATAGATCTTTCCGAAGGTTGCAAACTTGAAATCCGTGAGACAAGTTTTTTTTGTTTTTTTTTTTAATACTAATTGAATATTCGACTAAATAAATTACACTATTTAATCACTTAAGTATTGTTACACTTCGTTTAAATCGCTTAATTCAAAAACCAACTTGTTTACAATACTAAACTCAATGAGAGTAATCATATACTTTCAAATCTGAATTACAACTTTTCTATAAACTATCAACTCTATATTTATATCATGACTTCATATTTAAATCTAAGGGTTTATATCTGTCTTAACAGTATTTTATAAATGGGGAGAATTTACTATTGTACAATTCATTGGACCATTTAAATCAATACCTTAAAACGAATTTAAAACAGTCGTATATTCATGGAATGGAGTATACGACCCCAAGGCTGCATAGAACTTATAGTTACTATTTTTGGTCGTTGTGTCAACCTTTTTTTGAAATATTCTTGTATTTATACTTTGCAAAAAAGGTTATACGTAGTAGCTTTCATCAATCTTATTAGTTTGTCAGGAATGTTAAACTCGTCCATGGCTTCACTTTCGAACGGAAAATCTAGAATTTTTTATTTAAAAGTAATTCGCGTGCGTCACGTTATTAATTGGAAGAGAAATGGAAAATCCCCAAATCGATTCAATGGAGCGAATTTAGTATTTTGATACGCACAAGTGTGAATGTTTAATTACGTAAATTCATCAGCTGTTATAGCCTTGATGATTTCCAATCTTCGATAAGAGTAGCATCAGCTATCGGCGACAATCCAAAACAAAACAAACTTATAGCTGAACAAAATTCTAGCAATATATACGAGTGCGGTCCGATAAGTACGTAGGCCTCACCCCACGAAGGTGTAGTGTGATCTCAAAAGACGGGTTGCATACAATTTCGGGCATGAAAAAACTGCCGACGTGATGAGTGCTGCGTATGCACACTCTGGTCAAGCGCAACCGTGAGAGTCTACTTTAGAGCAATGTTTGACGTTGTTTAAGCGAAATCAGAATGAGTTCTTTCGTCGTTTCGTGACCGTCGACTAAATATTGATCGATGGTGAATTACAGAAAAAATGGTTCCACCGTATGCTCCAGATTTTGCAAAATTTTCGTTTTTCTTGTGTAAGCTAAGTACTTATTTAATCGCCCTGGTATATCGCAACTTAGCATATCCTTGGTAACATAAATATCTCGCATTTTTATTTTTGTATTTAATTCCAGGAATATCATGGCTTTCCGCAAAGAAAACCAAGAGGCTTTCCAAAAGAAATATAATGTCAAATTAAGTTTTATGTCGGCCTTTTTAAAAGCTTCAGCATATGCTTTACAAGATCAACCCATTGTAAACGCTGTGATAGATGGAACCGATATCTTATATAGAGACTACGTAGACATTTCAGTTGCTGTCGCCACACCGAAAGGCCTCGTTGTACCTGTTGTGAGAAACGTAGAAAGAATGACGTATGCCGATATTGAATTGGGCATCGCTGCTTTGGCTGATAAAGCTAGAAAAGGTATGTATATATATTCCCACTATTTCCCATTCTAGGAATTCTCAAGATTTTTGCCAACTCCTTTCGATAATCTTGAGATTTTATGTGCTAAATTTGTATATTACTTTCTCATCTACTATAATTTTTTCCAATTTACTGAAATTTTACGGCCCTGGTGCAATAATTTTATTCTGTTATACAACGAGTTAAACGACAGATCGTATCGTTGTGGGTCGTTTTTGTAGTAACTTCAATTGTTATTCCAGCTATTACCATTAGCGATCCTCTCCCATGAGTAAGATGGGTACTAAAAATATACTCCATAAAGTCGCGTTTCCCACCATTCTAAGAATTTATGCGTAGTTTCAACATTTTGCCAATGAGCATCATTCCAAATAGGATTTTAACGAACAAGTGCTGGTATTTCATCCGGTGGCATCTAAACAATTTTGTATTACTTATGGTACATCTTCTAACTGAAGGTTGGCAACAATTTCAGCGAAGCAATATATACCTTCTGCAGCTTTGCTTCTTAACAGTCCCCTTGGTTTATATTTTCTCTGCGATAATTAACTTCAAGAGCTTTGCTCTACTGCTTCTGGATATGATAGATGTATAAAGACGTATATTTCCAGACAGGTTAAACGTCTTTCTTGTCTGCAAAATTAGGAAAATGGTGTAAAATGCCATGCTAATTCGTTTAACGTTTATTCACCATAAGAAGCAGGTTTTAGTTCTACTACTACATAATGCTTTTTGTAGCTTAATACGCCTTTGGAATACGCTCCAGTCTAGATCTCCTTGCTGCTATTCTCCGAAAGCCCATTTCTATAATATACGAATTATATAGAATATAATGTTGTATTCTTCCGTATTAACTTTCAACCCCAATATTGTTAATCCTCTCAGTTTTCTTAGCATGCATTCTAGGACTTTTTTCTCTTGTGTGATCACTATTTGAATGCACAAGATAAAGCACTATGCCTGTGTAATTCTTCTTATGTGCATGTTTCCTTATTGCCTTTGTGTATGGAGCTTATCCACCCTTCTTATCAAGTATGCGGTATTGGTTCTCTGTTAAGATATCTATTGAATATTTCTGTTAGATCGCACCTAGTTTGTCTGTTCTGTTTTTAAATATGCGGGAATTCCCTCTGGGCTGGAATATGAGTTGTTAATTTTTTTTTGTTGTTTTATGGCCAAATCTTCACTGATTCTCCACTTATATTTATGTAATTGCATATAGTATATGTATAGTATCATATTCAGGTCTTTGTTCTGTTAGTGGTGATGTTCAATATTTTTGCTATTTTTATAATGATATAGGGTTTATTTTTACTTCTCTTTTTATAGATAGAATATTTTTAAAGAATCTCTTCGATTCTCTAGAATGTCGTCCTCCCAAGTATCTAATTCCTGATACTTCTCTTCCCATCATCTATTCTTGGTTTCTATCGTAGCAGACTTAAATCTTAATACAGTATCTTTGTACTCTCTTTTATGTTCTTCTATTTAGTTGCTTAACTATCTGTGATATAATAGTTGTTTTTCTTCTTTTAATTATTGAAGTTGAGTATTTCACCAGAAATTTTTTGTTACTTTTCTAGTTTCTTTATATCTCAGTGATTCTTTTGTTGCTTGGTGCATTCCTTTAATAGTGATATCCGTTGTATCGTGTTTATAGTCTTGTGAGATCAGTTGGTATAATCTCTGTTTGTATAAGGTTCTATTTTAGTACTTTCGTTTTCGAATTTTTAAAAATTATATTGTGGCGTATCCAATTCTACTACTTTGTTGTTGTTATTTTCCAATTTGTTTTGTTGGTATTTTGCATTTCAAATTATGGGTATTATCCGGTTTTTATTCATGATGATCACTTCCACATTCTGCAGATCGATATACTCCGGGTCTTTAGTTTCAGTATCAAGTAATCTATGATTTATTTTAACTTTGTACTACTTTGAGTACATATGTGCCTGAAGAAGCCGTTTATTATTTTAAGCTGATTATGTTGACAGATATCTATTAATCTCGCCCCATTATCATTTCTTGTGTTTGCACCATGGGGGCCTACTACTTTATGTTCATTTTCTTTTCCGACTCTGGCATTTAGGTCTTCTTAGATTATTTCTTGATTTTGACCTATTTGAGATATTGTGTGATTTCATATCTCAAAAATCTTCTTTTTCTTCCACAAGTACGCTACCATTACGTCCATAGGTGGCAATTATTGTATCCTTGCACCCTTTCAAGTTTAAATTGACTTGTACCAGTCCACCGATTGTTTTCCAACTAGATATATTCCTTTTTTATTTACACCCTTGTTTTCATCGCCACTGTATATGTGAATATATTTTCAACAGTTCTGGGTTTCTTTTTTGTTTGAGATAGTGCAATAACATTTAGCTTGTTTTTCAATTTCTTGTAGAATGTCCCCTGTCTTTGTTTTTATTCCTTGCATGTTCCCACTTCCCACTGAAGCCTGGAGTTGAGATTTTTTAGCAAAGTTTTTGACGGATAATGGGGAGCTGGCCCATCGCTCCAACTCCCATTCTTAGCGGACCAGGATTTCCCTGCCAGGGTTGTCTCCCTTAGGCTATTTGTTCCAGTTTTCAGCCGTCGGAAACCCGCCTTTCGCCCTCTCTCGTCAGTTAGATAACGTACACCTATTGCGCGCCATGCACCCAGTTAATATGTAGCTTTATACCTTCGAGGACGTGAGAGTAGCATTTTTTGACAGAGTTGAACTCTATTACCAGAGTCTCTGACTTTTTGTCAGATATTAGTGGACATTTTTCAGCGACAGCATGAATGTCGGCACTTCATAGTGTCTTCAAGATCTTATGCCAACATTTACCAACCTATTAGTGCCAGGTTTTAGTTTTATTTATCCAAAAAATCATCAAAATTGAGCTATAATTAAAAATATTACTAAGATTAACATTTTTTAACATTTTAAATCATTGGTTTTTATTCATCTGACTGTCTAATCGTTTTTTTTTACAAATATTGAGTTTTATATTATTAAAAGTAGATTGAGCTCTCAATATGATCTTCTAGGTCAATTGGCTGTTGAAGATATGGATGGCGGCACTTTTACTGTAAGCAATGGAGGCGTATTTGGTTCTCTTTACGGAACTCCAATCATTAATCCACCCCAATCTGCTATCTTAGGAATGCATGGAATATTCGATAGACCAATTGCTATAAAAGGACAAGTAAGTATAACCTAGGGATTTTTTGTCTAGTTACTAAGCACCTAGATATTTAATTTCGAACTAGTTTTATGCAGCGTCTTTTGCAACGGATTGTTGTTCAAAGTGATCAAGTCGACGATTTCTTTTATGTTCACTCAAACGGATTTTGGCGACGGACTGTTTGGTATATTTCTAGGGAATTACTGTACCTGTGTTTTCTGAGAAATGTCAACGTTTTATCCATGTAAGAGGTATAAGAATAAGATTTTGTTTTTTTTTATCTCGGAATTCATATGGAATTTATTTATTATTATTATTAGAAACAAACACATCTTATTAATGTTGCGAAATAGCTTCCATCTTTTCTCAACATTTTCGTAAAAAAAAATCATCTCGATATCTCTATTAGCAAAAAAGAAAAGTACGTTCACATCATAACGTTATTTTATCAAATTTTAATATTCATTAATAGAATATAAGCCGGTAGTTTACTATGAAAAAAAAGTTGACAGGACAGTTTTAGACGGAGAATATTGTTTACAATTCAATAAATTGTTTTATCCCTTTGCGTATGTTAGTTAGCTGACATGTACTGTATTTCAAGAGATCCGAGCTAATTTTTATGACAGTTCAACTACAATAGTTATAAATAAAACAATGTCATTGAATACCTTGCCTCCACTGATTTGCATGGAAATTTGGATTTAGGTTAACCTTTAGGTTTACCCTCCACTTAAAAATTGGACTTGTGCCCTTGACTGCTTTTGATTGTTTAGGAGTGAAAATGACCCTTATTAGGAAAAAATCATGTATATAATTGTAAAATAAAGTAATTTTGAGTTATTTAATTATACATTCATATTAAATCTAGATTTCTTTGTTTTAATTTTTACCACATAATTTATATCCTTATAAAAAGCACCATTTGCGAAGAAATTCACATATTTGTGATATTTTTTTCATTGAAACTATAAATACAACAATTTTTTTAATCAAAATGATAGGGTAAAGCAGGGTTGTATGGACCACTTTTTTTATCAAGATATATTTTACGATGTATAAACATTAATAAAAAATATATCAATATACTTAGTGCCCTTTTCCCTAACATATATCCATATATAGTAGCTCAAACATTTTTTTTTGTGGCATTAATGGCTTCGGTTTTCTCTGTCGCAAGTTTTAGTCCGTGCTGCGTCATCCATTTCTTTACGACGCCACCTGCGTTCCGAACCCGGTATTTGAGATCTGGCTCATCCCGGGCTACTACCAGTACAGCGAGGTCATCCGCAAATGCGAAGGGGGTTGTACCCTCTCCGTATTCACAGTGCATAACCCCGTCATATGCCAGATTCCATAGCGTCGGGCCCAAGACAGATCCCTGGGTACCCCGGCCGTCACGTCCACGATCGTGCCCTTTTCCACCATAATCCTTCTGTCAGACAGATACTCTGCCACAACATTCATCAGGTAACCAGGACATTCTCTCTCCTCCATTGCCTTCATTACCTCGTTCCACTGCAGCGTATTGAATGCATTCTTAACATCAAACAACAGCAGGGCCGCCCAGCGATGTTCATCTCCAAGGCTCAGGAAAGGTTTGTGCTTCCAGCAATGCATTCATGTGTTCCAGAAGCCACGCAGGCTCCACCCGTCCTAGACACTTTACCGCCTCAGGTGGTATCTGATCCAGTCCGGGGACCTACGAGTCTTGAGTGAACCCAATGCCTCGACAAGTTCATCCATGGTAAAGGGTACAGCCCGCTCAGCTCCTTCATCCCTCCATACACCATGACATCTGCCGTCCGGAAAGAGCTCTCTTGTTACCTCAAGCTTCTTGTCTATAGGCATTTCATAAGGAGGATACGCATGGAACTTCTTCATAACGATCTTGTATCCCTGACCCCATATGTCCTCATCCAGTTTTTCACACAGCTCTTTCCAGTGCCTTCTTTTTTCTGTACGAATTTTCCTGTACAGTTCCCTCTTCCTTGCGCGGTACTCTTCCTCGATCTCCTCGATGACCTCAGGATTGATTCCTGCTCTGCCTCTTGCTCTTGTTAACCTTCTTCTCATTGCTATACATACATTTCTTAGTGCCTCGATGTCCGCATTCCACCAATATGGCATCCTGTTGACATCTTGGCGACCAAACTTGCTTCCTTCCATCGCTTCTTTAATAACTCTCTCGAGCTTTCCACCGTCGGTGATTGACCCTCCATTATGCTTACTCTCCATTTAATTAGCTCCTCGTATACTTTCCAGTCAGTCCCATCGCCGCATCTGCCCTCAGACGTCCCGGATGCACGGACCGTGTTAGTGGTCTCCGTTCCAGTTATCGAGAACTCGATGTATTGATGTTCAGTTCCGGTGTAGTCTGGTAAAACCTTCCAGCCTCTTGCTTTCGCCGCTATTCCTTGTGTCGCCATGGTCACGTCGATGTATGTACCTGTACCTCTCCGAACAAACGTAGGTTCCAGACTTGTGTTCAGAACCACTAGGTCTAGAGTACCCACCCAGTCAGTATCCTGCCGCGAGTATCGGTGATGGGAGATCCCCACTCCGCTTCTTTTGCGTTAAAATCTCCCAGCACTACGTATTCTCCTCCTGTGTTTACCACTTCCTGCATGATCTCATCTATCTTCATCTCTTACTCACCCACGGTCACGTTTGGAGAAATATATCAGCAGACCAGCCGCACCCCCTCCATCTGAACAATCACATATCCTTCTTTTGGCTTAATTTCATACACTCGCAGCTTCCTATTGTAGATTCGTACAGCAGCCCTCCCGGTCGTATCTACAAACCATCCTCTTCTCTTCACTGCTGTTGGATTTGGTTCTGCCGTCACCAGTACATCGATGTTCTTTTCTACTGCGGCAGCCTCAGCAAGATCGTGTGCTAATCTTGCCGTTCCAACATTAGTTTGGAGCACCCTCAGCTCTAGAATCTTGTTTTCTTTGTTTGCCATTTCTAAACATTCGACTTCTTTCGCGCTCTCTTTTACACTCTCGTACTCTTCTTGGGATTAGTCCTCAGTGGTTCCTATTTTCAACCAGTCGATTGAACTTGTGGACATATTATTGAATTCGCCACATGTCCATTCACGTCGCAGTTGAGGCATCTGGTTGTTTCTTACTTTTATTCTTTTCATTTTCAAGATCTTTTCGGCAGCGTCTTCATCCACATCGATCACGGCACTCATCATCCCTCTTACTGCGCCTCGTGTCTCAGTCCAAATTTTTATAATGTCACAGGTCCGCTCTTTGCCAGCTGCTTCCTGGACCAGTTAACCTAACCGGTTGGGTTAGGTGGGCCAGTTAACTTAACCAGTGGTCCACCTAACCTGATTAATCATACTGATTCTTTTTAATCTTTCTAATCAGGTAAGATACTACAGGTTGATAAAAATACATTGTAATTAATCGTAGGCTGTATTTAGAAACAAATATTAAAATATTAACAAATATTATATTCATTCACATCAATCTTAAAATATAACATATTCTCATATCGGCATTTTGAATATTTAACTGGATTTGGTAAACTACACAATATATCCTCATAAGAAATAAAACTGGGATCCTCGTCTGTGTATTTAAAATGATTTGAAGGATTCTGCTTCTTTAAAAAAATAATTTCATAATCTTATACAGTTTTTTATGACTTCTGCAGCATAATTTAGGGAGGTTTTCTTACCTTGCACTTTTACAAAAGGTAATTTCCTACGTCATATTCATTGGGCGGTTTATAAGTCGTAGCTTCTTCAGACTGAATTACATCAGAGCAATCACAAGAATCTTCATATGGCGGTTCTTCCTCTGATTCACATGAGGAGGATTGGAGAACTTTACGGGTAACCTTTTTTGTGCGGACTTTTTTTTTCTAATTTTATTTTGTCGTGTTTCGAACCTCTCTTCAAGTTAGATTTTACAGAAGTACTAGTTAATATCATAGATTTAACCTTTCTTCTGTTATTATTAGATTTTCTAGGAGCTGCTTTTACAAATGGCCCAACAGTTTCTGGCAGAACAATTTGTTTTTCTTTGCCAGTTTTATTACTGGGGCAAACCTGATGTATTTTGGTCACTCTATCGGGATATTTCGAACATCCCGGCTGGCTATTGTCAATTTTTTTTTAAATCGTTATCTTAATCCATTTGAACGTCTCAACCGTCATTTGAATTAGATCGGCCTATCTCTTTTGACATTTGAATCAGATCGTTCGATATCTTTAGACATATTGGAAAAGTTGCCGATACATACGTCATTCGTTAAAATAGAGCTTTTCAATGGTTCTAAGCATCGGTCTGTAACGAATAACGGTAGAAAAACAGCGTCTGTGAATATATCATCATTAAAAGGGCATATCCCTGACTTTACGAAACCACTGTTAATATTTTGCAATGTAAATGCCTTTGGATAGGCATCACCTACAAGCTCGGCAACGTCGTATATATAGTATTTTGCGAATTAATGGAATCATAGGCTGTTTTAATGAAAAAACAGTTTATTTAGTAAAAAATTATATTTTGACAAAACTATAAAGGTAAACTTACATCATTCAGTAGGAAATATGTCCCCCTTTGGCAGCAATTACTGCTTTTACCCGTTTTGGCATAGATTCTATGAGTTTCTGGCAGTTGTCAGATATCCTTTCATCTCGATACCAAACCTGAATGGCCGCTTCTATCATTTTTGTTTTAGTGGTACAGTCGATTTTTCGCAGTCTAGCTTTGCAAATGGCCCATAAATTTTCAATGGGGTTGAGGTCGGGCGAATTACCGGGCCAATCTAAAACATTAATCTTCTTATTTTTGAAAAATGCCATCATTTCCTTTGATTTGTGACAGAGAGCAGAGTCCTGTTGAAGAATCGCTCCTCCTTGGGGTTGACATTTTTGGAGTTGTTTGTCCAAATACTTTTCCAACATGGATTTGTATTTTTGGCTGTTCATCATGCCTTCAATTGGCACCAAAGATCCAACCCCCATGTATGAAAAACATCCCCAAAACATTTTCTTGTGAATATTGAAAAAATGAAAAAAATTCACAGTGATTCCATTAATTCGCACAATACTGTAGTAATTACATTGCCGAGGTGATTTGTCATCCACCTATTACTAGCATCATAATAATATTTTTTAAAAGGACCAAATACTGATAAATCCAACGGCTGTAGCTTGTGACTACAGTGGGGTGGGAATGTTAAGAGGATAATTCCACTTTTCTTAGCATAATCCAGAGCCGTTAAATTTAAATGGCTCTCGTGGTTATCGAACAAAATTAATTTGGGCCTTTCAGGGGTTGGTCTCTCACAAGTGACAAAATGCTCTAAAACCTCTAAAAATAGTTCTCCCTGCATCCATCCCGACGATGTGGCATTTCCTTTAGTTCCAATAGTTACGTTTTTCAACATATGATCCTTCCTCTACAACAACTTCCTTCAACATATGAAAGTTCCTCTTTCTGTTGAGGTAACTTGTCCAACTTGTCGTATACCTTTAGCTGCGATTATTTTTTGGGGCTTATGAACAGTTAAACACCCTAGAACAAAATAAATTAACATTAATACATTCATATTTTGAAGTAAAGAAACTTGACAAATAGAAACATTATATACAAACCTGTCTCGTCTAAATTATACATATCTTGCGGTTCAAGATTATTGGTTTCTAAAACTGTTTTCAAATTTTGATAAAATATGGAAACATTATGATGGTTGAGCTCGTGATCCGGCTTAAACTAGTTTGCTCTGGCGTTCTAACGGAAAGATTATATCTCTTCAGAAAAGCCAGTATTCACTCTTTTTCGGCCATCATCTCTTTAGTCTAATTTTCTAAACCTTTTCTAATATTTTTTTGGTTTGCTGTAGCATAATCAAAGGCCAGTTTACGTGCTTCCTTCGGCGTTAAACCGTAGTTCATCATTGATGCTTGTTTAATATATTTGGCAAGGGCCCTTCGGCATTAGAGAAAACCTTCAGGTGTTCATTCTTAGGGCTAAAATTCACATTTTCAAATCCAATAGCATCGGCTTTAGCTTTAAATCTCAACAACGTTGTTTTATGTATTTTTTTTTATTTATTTATTACCTTAACAAACACCACCTAGGTAGTAATTACTTGTTAGAGTGCTCATTACTTGGTATAACAATATACACACAAAAAATACAATATACACACAAGTACAAAATAAAAACACAAAATAAAACACATTAAAAAAAAGACACAAGTTAATAAAATTTTAAAAATTGAGTCCATTACTTATCATACTTATTCATAACATTTTTTAATATTCATTACACTACAGGTAAAGAGGTCTATATCACAGATCTTTATTAACTCATTACACTGATATTGCATATAGTTTATTATTGCACAAGAATTATATGGACTACAAGAAAATAGGTCATTACTGTTTACCCTAAGGGCGAGCGCCCACCAAAGTGGCGTGGCAAGTAGCACGTAGCAAGTAGCACGCGTCTAGCATGTTTTTTAAAATGTAACCAATGAAAACGGATGATTAGAAAGAATGACGTCACTGTCATTTTGGTGTACGCTGAATCATTCGTTTTCATTGGTTACATTTTAAGAAACATGCTAGACGCGTGCTACTTGCCACTTGCTACGTGCCACGCCACTTTGGTGGGTGCTCTCACTTAGGTTGGCCTTTGGCACATGAAACCTAATAAAGTTGAACAAACCACATGTCTTGTATTTAACATTGTTAATGATATTATGAATAAACACAACATGTATTTGAAACTTTCTTGAAGCTTTTCGAAATCCCAACCTATTTTCTACTACCTCTTAACAGCGTTCTTCAAATTTTCTGGATCAAATGAACGATTTTCCGTTGTTCTTTTACGAATACGTGGCATTGTAACCTGTAAAATTAAAAGATTTTGTTATAACACGTGCGAAAATGTTTGTGGGGTTAACTGGACTAGGACCAAGCAACCTGACCTACAAGTGGTCCAGTCAACCCCACTGTAAAAAAATGTTATTTAAATATTTTTCATAATTATTATTTCGTAATAACTTCTAATTTGCATAAACACGTATTCTACAATAGTTATTGTACTTACCTATTCAGACGCTAATAAACTAAAACTGAATCCTAAAAATGTCGCAAAAATACGTTAAAAGTAACTTTCCTCCTTAAAAAACCACAATCCACTGCAGACGAAACAACAATTAAAGGTAGAACGTACCTATTCTGCACGGGGTTTCGTCACAGCTCGGGGATAATTGACAAACGTTTAACAGCACAATACAGTGCCGCGAAAAATTGAACATCGGTGGTCTAGTTAACCCTACGTTCCAGTTAACCACAAACTCTTCTTCTACTAGGCCTACAGACTTCATAAGAATTTGTTGTTTTTTTTTATAAACTACATTTTTGTCAAGAATGTTTTTTTTTTTCGATAAATACTTACTTTTTGAGTTATTTGTTGAAACCCATCTGAAAACATGTGAAAAATAAACATTTTCACTCGCAATTAACTTAAAAAATATTGACTTAGTTAAAAAAACTCTATAGAATAAAAGATGTTTAAAATTAATCAATGTATATGAACGTTTGTTGTTTTTCACCCCCGAAGTTGTGACTTTCACCCCCCCCCCCCCCACTAAGTAAAAGAAACTCTGAACGAGCAAAATTACACTTAAAACGATCATTTACTGGAGTATAAATCTGAATCATCGTATAGAAGTATATTATAATTTTCCAGAGAGCACCTTGACTGGAATGTTGATGATTGGGAGCACGTATTGTTCACAGATGAATGGAGGTATTGCTTATATAGCTCAGATAGACGTGTAAGAGTTATTCGACGGCCAAGACAATGCTATGCACAGTTCCCATTATTCGACCTGTGACTATTCAATGGAGGATCTGTAATGGTTTGGGGAGGAATATTTCTTACACACCGAACGGACCTTGTTGCTTTAGGAAGATGTTCCTTAACAAGTGAAGGGTATATTACAGACATTTTTCTAACCATGTATTTCTCTTTGCTGTGTACATAGGAAATAATTTTCTTTTAATGCGTGATAATGCACGTCCGTGATTATTCGGACGAGGTTGGTATAACAACCATGAGCGGGCCACCCTGCAGCCTTGATCTAAATCTTTAGATAAAGATAATTATGGGATAGTATTAATTGTCAACTCAGGAGCCGACAACTCTCACCTGTCGCTCTTGATGACAGAGAAGATATGGTGAGAGAAGTTTGGGATTCAATTGATACAAGACTAAATACGACGCTTGATTTTAAGTATATCTAGTCGCTATGAATAATTAATTAGAAATGGAAGTGGAAATAATCGTTTTCAATTGTTCTTGAGAGAGGTAACTTGTTAAAGAGTATTTAGGTTATGTTTTCTTAGGCTTTAGTTGTTTTAAATGCCAATAAAGTATATATAAGTAGTTTTCTTTGCTTCCATTTGCCTTAAGTGTCCATAAAAACTTGTTACATTTAAAGTTTTGTATAATATTTGATAGTAGATGTAGAAAGAAAAAACACACTTCAATTTTTACTCCCCGTAAGTATAAGGGTACAACGTTGATATTTATCAGAAGTCGTTGGTACAGTAATTCCTTAGAAATATACCTATAATTAAAAAAAATCATTGAAATTCAATCAACGGTTGAGAGGAAAAGTAACTTCAAACTTATGGTAGATTTAATGTGGTGCGTTAATTTTGGAGAATAGTGTATATATTTATCTATATATTAACAATTGGAAGGATTTGTAGTGTACAAATTTCATGCATACGTTTGTCATTATCTAATTTGCTTTTTTTTGTTCCAGGCTGTTGTGAGGCCGATGATGTACATAGCCTTAACTTACGACCATAGAATCATTGACGGACGTGAAGCAGTGCTATTCTTAAGAAAAATCAAGCAAGCTGTGGAGAATCCAGCTACCATAGTCGCTGGTCTTTAAACTGCCGTTAAGAGTAATAAATATCACTTTAATTTTATTTTTCATTGTACGGTTAACGTATTTTTATTTATATTCATACTAATTGGATATCAGTCGTCGTAAACTTTTTATTACTTAATAATTATTAAAGTATTATTGTCAAATATTTTATTAGAAATGACTACAGGTTAACGATATCATACATTGTAAATTATACCGAGTATAAATATATACCCATAAGTTGTACACGCAACTTCTTTTTTGTGTAATATACATGTGCAAATTTTGAAAAGTGTATTTACATTCGATATTACTAGGCTTTGCCTATTTCACTTAATTGTTATTTATTAATTAAATAATTAAATTCAACGTTTTTGTTACACCTCCTTTTTCCTTTTATGTTAATCCGGTATTTTTATATAATGATGGGTTGTCTGGATATCGACCAAAGTAAAAAGACTTATTCCAGACAAAAGATTTATTCCATGGAGAAAAAGTCAATTGACGAAAAATAAGAGAAATTAATATTATAGACGTCATCGAAATGTCTCGGAAGGTATGAAACGTCAAAAAAGTATATAACAGGAAGTTGACAGTTGAATGAATAATAGTAATAATTGTGGCTTTCTGCACATACGGTGACCTCTATAATATTTCATATGAGGTCATCAGAAGAGGTGTCTGTATATATACGTTCATTGTACTACCTAAGCTCTGACGTCACAATGGGCGGGGGTTTTAAAAACCGTTCTAAACATTTCTAATTGGTGTATATTTGTTCCATAAGAAGTTGGAAATATTGGTTTTTTAATTGTTTGAAGAATAAATAAGGACTTTTGCTTATGAAAATTCATTCTGTGCGATTGCTATTGATTGTTTTGTTCGTGAATTTTTTATGTAAGAATATCAAAGTATTAAGATATTTACTATGAATGTTCATATTCTAAGGTCATGTTATTGTTTGGTTAAAACTTTAATTATTTTTTACTGTATTTCAAGGTATTTTGTTGTTGCTTTTATCGGGGTTATTTAAAAAATTAATCAATAAATAATTGAATTTAGTTACTAAGTTGCCAGTGATTTTACCCCCCAAAAAAATTAACATCCCCTAAAAAACTTTTCTAGTAGTTTAAATAGTTATTAGTAGTTTTGTTGTCATTACTGAAAAATTCAAGAATACTGGATATCTTCAATACATGTTTACTAGCCATTATATATGCAGATCTAAAAAACAAACTCAATAACTATAACAACATTCAAAAAACCTTTTTTTAATACTCTAAACCAGGAGTCGACAAGTAATTTTATGTGGGGTCCGGATACTAGAAGAAAATTTGAACAAGGTCCAGAAAAAAAAAACAAATAATAATATTTAATGACAAGATGTTTATTATTTTGGTACATTCTTAATGATAAAACAATAGACCTTAAATTAATGCGAAAAATTGCACCGACGGTCTTGAGCTAGTTGTTTGTGGTCTGGTTCTCGAGTCAAACAACAAATTCGAAGTGTATCTTCGAGGTGGGTGTCCGTTAATCGGGAGCGATATTTCTTTTTCTTCTTCTTCGTCTAGCCATTCACGTCCACATCTGAACATAAGCCTCTTCAAGTCTTCCTTTCCATTGTTTTTTATTGTACGCTACTTGTAGCCAATTTTTCCCGGCACTCCTTTTCAGATCATCTGTCCATCTCATAGGAGGTCTGCCTCTGGGTCTTTTGTGTTGGTATGGTCTCCAGGTTAAAATTGATCTGTGCCATTTGTTTAGATCGCTCCTAGCTACATGTCCAGCGTATTCCCATTTCAGCTTTAATGCTTTTTGCACCACATCGGTGACTTTGGTTTTCTGTCTTATCCATGTGTTTGTTTTCTTGTCCTTAAGTGATATACCTAGCATTGCTCTTTCCATCGCGTGTTGAGTGACTCTAAGTATATTCATATTCTTTTTTGTGATTGTCCATGTTTGTGCCGCATAAGTTAATATCGGAATAATGCATGCATCAAAAACTTTAGATCTAAGATGTAATTGAATTTGTTGATTTCTGAGTATATAGTTCAGTTTACCGAATGCTGCCCAAGCTAACTTTCTTCTTTTTATTTCTTCAGTCTGAATTTCCCTATTTAGGATTATTTTTTGTCCCAAGTATATATATTCTTCAACTTTTTCTATAACTTTATCGTTTATTATTGTCACGGTGTCTTCGGAGTGCATGACTTTTGTTTTGTTTAAATTCATTTTCAGTCCTATTTTAGAAGATTCGGTATGAAGTTCTACATGCATGGTTTGCATTTCTTGTAGGTCAGTAGCTATCAGGATTATGTCATCTGCAAATCGTAGATTACTGAGATAGCGGCCATTGATGTTTATTCCCTTATATTTCCAATTTAGGTTTTTAAAAACGTCCTCCAAAACTAAGGTGAACAGTTTGGGTGATAAAGTATCTCCCTGTTTGACTCCCCTGTTTAATGGTACTGGGTTCGTGTGTTCATTTTCATTTAGGTAGTATGTAGCTGTAGCTTGGTTCATAGTTTCTTTTATTAAGTTAATATATCTGCTGTCTATTCTACAATTTTGCATTGCGTTTATTACGGCCGTGTGTTCTATGGTATCGAAAGCTTTTTCGTAGTCTACAAATGCAAGGAAAACTGGAAACTTGTATTCGTTACATTTTTCTATTAATATTTTTGTGGTTAACAGGTGATCGGAAGTTGAATAGCCTTTTCTAAAACCTGCCTGTTCATATGGTTGGTATTCGTCTAATTTCCTTGTTAGTCGAGTAGTTATGACTTTGGTGAGTATTTTAAACAGGTGTGACAGTAGGCTGATGGGTCTGTAGTTTTCCAATTTTCGACTATCACCTTTCTTGTGCAATAAGATTACTTTTGAGTTGTTTCAGCTCTTAGGGACTTTGCCCTGATGTAAACAACTGTCCACAAGCTTAGTTACAATTGCAATTAGTTCCTTACCTCCTTCTAATATCATATCTGTGGTAATACTATCTTCTCCTGCAGCTTTATTTCTCTTCATGTTTTCCAATGCTGTAGTTACCTCTGAAATTGTTACTTTTGGCATTATTTCTGATCCAACATTTTTATTAATTTCCGTGCTGGTCTCATCTCATCATCTTGTTGATGTGATCTGTAAAGTTCTGTGTAAAATTCTTCTATTCGTGTCACTATGTTTTCTCTACTTGTGATTTCATTTTCGTCTTTTCCTATTAATGATATCATCTGACGTCGTCCTAGTGTCGGTCTGAGACATTTCATACCCTTATTTTTTTCAATAGTTGTTGTTATTAATTTTTCTTTTCTTTTTTGTTATCTGATTCCTTTTCTAATCTGCCTATTAAGTTCTCTATATTCGTCGGTTCCCCTTTTGTTAGATTTATTTAAGATCTTCCTTCTTTCTATTTGTTGTAATATTTCTTTGTCTAATTCATTGTATGTTGTTTTCGGTTTTTTCAGTTGCAGAAGGCTTTTATTCACTGTTTCGGTAATAAGGTTATTCAAATCATCAATATCATTTGAGATTATCTGCTGCATGCTAACTTGATTTAATGCATGCACTATCTTTTTATTAAATTCACTATTTTTGATTTCTTCAGATGTCCATTTGTATCTTTTTTCATGTATTCTTCTTCTTTCTAGTTTTTTGTTAATTACTAGTTTTGTTCTTATTAGTCTATGATCGCTTCCTAGGTCAAACTGATTTAATACTGATACGTCTTTTTCTATTCTTCTATAGGTTAGGTTTCTATTCTTCGTTAAGATATAATCTATTTCCGTCTTTGTCTTTTTATCGGGACTCATCCATGTCCATTTTCTGCTTGGTTTTTTATTGAAAAAGGAGTTAATTGAGTACATGTTATGTTCATTCATGAAATTGAGAAGCATTTCTCCTCTATCGTTTCATTTCCCGTAGCCATAGTTACCAAATAAATGTTCATAATCTTCCTCTTTTTTGCCCAATTTAGCATTAAAATCTCCTAATAGTATTTCGTAATTTGCTTTATTTGTTTCTATAGCTGTTCTTATTTCATCATAAAATATTTCTACTTCTTCATCGTCGTGGCTTTTGGTCGGAGCGTACACTTGGATCACTTTCAGAGTGGTTCTTTTATTAATCCTGATGATGAGATATGCTACTCTGTCTGATATGGGCTTGAATTCTTCGATACACTGTGTTAGGCTTTGTTTTACTAAGAATCCCACTCCAGTGTATTCGCCACGTTTATGCATAAAATGTGTGCCATTTTTTAGTAATATATACTCATCACTTTTTCTTCTGGTCTCGCATATACCAAGGATATCCCATTTTATATCCTTTAGTTCACTTTCTATTTCTGGGAATCTATTGTCGTCCGTCAGTGTTCGAATATTAGGAGCATAGCCAAATTGTCATCTTGTGGCAGCCGGGTCTTACCCAGGGATTCTTAGCACTCACCCTTCCGCTAGTTGTTTGATCGCTGCCGTGATCAAGACTCTGGGAAGTGCTGGGCACTGGGGGCCTTTTCTTTTTTGTCGTGTACATTGACTTGAAGGTTTGGACCGTTATCTCCTCACGCTGGTCCAGTGCGGGTTGAGGAGGGAAGGGAAGGATTTGGGTAGGTCTGGGTTGGTGGGTAGGATTTAGGGATTAGGATCCGCTTCTCTCCCGGAAGAGGATTGGGAGAAAAAGCCGAGCTCGCGTGGGCAGGGGCGCATCCCTGAAGCAGACCTGTCTTTACCGGGATCGTAAAGAGTATCTACCCGCTACCATGGAGCGATATTTGTTTTTAAAAAAATTCATTTTTGATAAAGACGTTTCGCACATATACGTTGAGCCAAACATAGTGGCCAAATTGATGGCCAAGTTGTCTGCAATTTTCGTATTTTGCTTGCACATGTTACGTCCAAAATTCTTCTGCGGATACCGACTTATAAACGTGCAAGGACAAATCTTGTAATTCAATAATCTTCATTTGAAGTAATGCTTTTGACAGATTAAACAGCTTAGCAGCCACATCTGTTCATTTTGCCGTTACATCAACTTCAAATGGTGATTTTATAAATGAAGATAGTGTGCTTACCTATACAAAGTCTTGAAATCTTGAAGCAAATTCGGTCCTAAGATCGCCAAGAAATTTTACGAACACTGCAATGTCTTCATCGGAGTACGCCTTATTTTTTATTATATTCAAGAATAGTTGGAAAATGAATGAATTCTTTTTGTGCTATATCTTTTTCGAAGATATCCAGATTACGACGAAAAGCAGACACGTGTTGTATCAGATCACATACTAATTTTCAATTTTCTTGTAACTCTGTGTTAAGCGCATTCAAATATTTTAAAATATCTTTTAAAAAAGCCACAACCAGCATGTTGAGC